ACATTTTTAGTTTGTAGAACTATCCCTTTTTTGCAGGTGATCGAACTGAATGCTGCATCCAGACCATAATGTGCATCATATTCTTGTCTTCCTACCTCAGAGAATTGGGTGATACAGTTACACCAGTTTCAGCCAGATATACATTTTTTTTACTATGGTGGTTGATTTCTTTTGTAAGTTTTGTATGTTGTTAGACAACAAGATCGTAACGGTGACGACAGGTGGTGATGTGTTACGACGGTGAGCAAAATGCTAAGCAGTCTTTTATCCCTTACCTTAGTCATTAGCTATTAGTGGAATTACTTTTTGTATTATTGGACTTTGACAAGTTACGACCTCTTTTCGTATGTTTTCTTGTCCCCCCCCCCTCTATTGTCTATCACTGCCATTTTCCCGGCTTTTAAATAATTTCCCTGTCTGCCAACCTTGGTGGGGAAATGTTGATCCTTGAACTGAGTTCTCCTGTGAACGTGTCGTGGAGTTTCTGGAAAATAAATATTTACTCATGGAGTCTGCCTTCATTTCTTGCTTCATTCGATGTCGTCCGTCATTACTGTTATCTCTGCAGTCTTGCTTCCATTTGAAAATAATGGTTCTTCTAAAGAATCTTATGGCAACGACTTCGGACGGTCCCAGTCAGCTCTTTGTTGGCTCGTTACCTGTTACACTCTTACAGCCTAACAAAAATGGACCTGAGTATATGTGAGTTCCATCAGATTTCTCAGTTTCAATACCATTCTATAGGATTTCTAGTATTATTCTCCACGCAGGTAAAGGCAAATGGCACGATCTTTTGGTGCTCTGTCTAAATTGGTAGCGGGGGTGCTAAATAACAAAAAAATGGGCAGCGAAGTGAGACGGTTATAAACCTTCGAAAAAGCCTTTGTTCGACACTACTCGGGAAGCGATTTTGGGCGAGTTTGCCGTCGGCATCATGCCAATGACCGCTACGACTGCACGTATGTACTCATATATCCATGCAAGACCGCTTGCCAAGGATTCAATACGAGCACCAGGTACTGTCGTCCATTTGTGGGCGGGCGGGCGGGCGTGATTGGCGTCCAGGTCGGTCTGATAGGGTACCTCCCTTGGAAAAGGTGCTGCGCAGCGCCTGCTCGCGGACTTCCGTCCTGCCAGGCGTATTAATCCTACTCGTCTTAGGGATTGGATTCGTCGTGCCAATTGCCTTCAAGACCTGTGCCATATAGACTGCCATCAAGACCTGTGCCATATACAAGGGACAGCATCGTGATGTGTAAAACGGCGTGGTACAGTCCTCCCCCAATTTTCTCCTCTTGTACGTCCTAGCCCTTTTCTCATCCTATAACCATATCCCTGAATTTTCAAACCTTCATACCACATATTCTCTGTTCCAAAAAAAATAATCCGCAGATGATGCTCGAAGAACTGCCGTCGTTCGGGGAATGGGACGAGTTTCTCCGCTATCATTCCGAGCAACAACTAATTTCAGCTATGAGAAATAGTAATTGTACGATGGTTTATTGGCAAACTACGGGTATAGGATGTAGCCACAAGTGAAAAAGTAAAACTATGAAGACCAGGCACCGCCCCTGCCCCACTCCTGAGGGATGTTGGCCTCCCCTTGATGGGATTTGCCCAACGGTGCTTTACCCTGACCATATAGTTGTATACGACAGCATTGACTATACAGCCTCTTACAGGTCAACTGTGGCAGATGTAGCACTGAAAATCGTGGAACGAAGGCTAGACAGTGGCGAAAAGGTAGGTATTGCCCGATAAGCTTCCTATGTAAAGGGCGCGTCTTGGCACTGGGAAGCATGTTCCGAAGTATGACCCTCTCCCCTTCGGCGACCAAAACGTCCTCCTTTTCTCCTGCGTTGAGAACCCTCATCGTATAGATTATATCGTCGCAATCACTCAGAGCGGTTTTAATATAGGTGGGATCATCCGCCCACAGCTGCCTTCCTTACCAGTAGTGATCGATTTAGGAGTAAAATAACCACTGGGTTGGAACCGAAGTAGGTAGGCTTATCCCTTTCCTGACACCGCCAGGACTGCTTGTGACGATAGCGAGAGTACGACGCGCCCTCTTACATAAAAATTGAGGAAAACGCCGTTGCATTTAGAAATCTCCATGACTTGCTATTTTGAAGGAATACCGTGTCGAAATCAGCCGTCCGGATGACTTCGAGTTCCTGTATGCGGATGGCATTACACGGACGAAATATCAGGTTCGCCCCAATGCGATTTTGGTTGGATAGAGCGAGGTTCTTTTTGTTAAGACGCTGGCGAAAACATGGAACTTAAACGTAGATTTCGACGACTTTCCCGCTCGAATAATTCGATTACTTCGAGAACGTGTTGGGGCAGCATCACCTGTTCAGCTCACTTGTACTTTGAGCCAAGATCTATCTATTTGCACGTAGGTTGAACTTCTTTGATCCTTTGTATTTGCTATATGTAGTTGCATCCCCGCTGACAGATTTTTTGGGATGCGTCATGCACTCGGCCTTCACTCAGAACGTCGATCGCTCTTAGGTCC